AGTCAGACAAGACACAGTGGCTCCTCAAGGTGGCGAATGCATCCATACAGGTTGATGCTGTCATCGCCTGAGGGGGGGAAGTTCTGACAGGAGCCAAACAGGAGAGCCTCTCTTGTCAACATTCGTCTGGAGAAAGTAAGAGCTCATCCAGGACTTGATGAACGTAAATACACAACAGAAAAAAACTGCTGTCAACTCCATCCCATGATGACCAGTTAAGATCTTGCAACAATCAAAGTTTTAATATTTTCTCCATACCAAGTAATAATTCCTAACTTTTTACTTTTACAAAAAAATTGTTCAACCTAAGCTCATACATATAGAAGATTGAGGGGTGATTTGATAGAGGTTTTTAGGATGATAAAGGGTAGATGCAGAAAAGCTATTTTCTGTTTTAGAGAATGCAAAACAAGGGAGCATAGTCTTAAAATTAGAAGGAAACCATTTAAGAGTGAAATTAGGAAGCATTTTTTCACTCAAAGAGTGGTAGAAATCTGGAACTCTCTCCCCCCAAAGGTCGTGGATCCATCCACACCTTTAAGAAAGAGATTGACAGATTTTTGGTAGGTCAGGGTATTAAGGGATATGGGGAGAAAGCGGGAAATTGGATTTCAAATTCTAGTAAAGATATAGATCAGCCATGATCTAATTAAATGGTGGAACAGGCTCGACGGGCTGAATGGCCTACTCCTGTTCCTATGTTTCTATATTCCTAATCTTGTAAATAAAAAAATGCAGTGTTCTTTTAAAAAAAATGCACTATTCATGCATTTAACAAAATATTAGTGTTGAAATTCACCTCTGAGAAAGGCTAAACGAGCATTTAAATTTGGGTTAAAGTTGAAATTGAGATAAACTATACATCCCATATTATCACCGTCAATTTTGTTCCTTCACCTCTCATCTTTGTGCGCTGAGTACAAACTTGACAGTGACTGTGAAATTTTAACTTCAGTATATGTTTTGACTTTTTGCATAAGAGCATTAGCTCCTTTCACACAAATACTTTCCTGTTAATTTTATTGGATACTGTTCACTTATTTTGACAACCTACATGGCAAAAAGAAAATAATGCAAATTGGACAAATAAGTGACAACAGTCAGAACATGTTTCGTGCAATTTGTTTCTCTCCATACATATTTCTGCATTTACTACAATATAAAAACAAGCTGTGAGCTATAAAACTGGTCTCAGTCATTCCTGTACTCACATCTAAATTGATAGCAGTGAAGGACAGAAATACCCTTATTTTTGAGCAAATGTTGTTTTTGTTTTATAATAACTAGTTGTGATTTGCAGCAACCTCATTGTGAACAGATATACCGGAAGAAAAGTATTTGTGGTTTGAAACAGAATGAAAGACAAATAGAATTAAAAAAGCAAACCACTTCTCCTAAAAAGGCCCTCACAAACCAAATGTCATCATTATTTTCAATATAAATGGCTATATATTTTCTTAACAAAATTAAAAACATTCTTAACCTCTAACCCTCTGATTGCCAGCTGATAGGTCTCTTCATCGCACATCTTTTGGAAATTCTATTTTGTGGAATGTTAGCAAAATCTTTGTCTATTACAGCACTGAAGAACAAGTTTCTTTTGTTTAACATAAAATTCATCCCATTGTTGGTAAAAATTTAACCGTAGAAACCAACGACACAGTAGGGGCCCTTCAGCTATTGCAATAATGTTGGTGTTTACTCTTCCAATGAAGCAAACTCTCCTAAACCCAATTACAGTACATCTTTTTACCCTGTAATCTCCAGTAGCCTTCCTCCTCACGTTTATCGAATTCCCTTTAAAATGCACAAATTCACTCTGCTCTAATAGCCACCCTTTTGGCAATTCATTCCATATGCACCATTGGGGGCACGAAGAAAAATAACATACCATATGCCATATTCAGCAGGAACTTAAAATATTTTATTTTTCTAAAAATCACACTCCCTACAAAGGTATTTTTCGGTTGCATTGCATTTTTACAATCTTAACTTTATAAATTGACCTGTTTAGGGTTAACCCTTCATCTCCGATATTTCTACCCTACTTACATCTCTCTGCCTCTGCTCATCATCCTGGGCGACTTCAACCTGCACTTCACCCCCTCCTGCTCCATCTCCTCGGACTTCTCCTCCCTGCTCTCCTCGCTCAACCTCTCCATCCACATCAACTCCCCCACTCACAGTCACGGCCACTCACTCGATTTGGTGATCACCCGGGGCCTCAGTGTCTCGGATGTCACCATTACCGACAAGGCCGTCTCCGATCACTTCATCTCCTTCACCACCTCCACCCGTCCTCTCCACCTCCACCAGACCCACCACCATCTTCTACCGCCCCTGGAAGAAGTTACCCCCACAATCCCTAACCGCTGTCTTGGAGTCCTCTGAACTCCTCTCCCTCTGGCCTTCAACCCTCACTGACACCTCTTCTCCTCTCACCCTCCTCCACAACACCCTCTCCTCCTCACTCGACACTCTTGCCCCCATCACCTCCCGTACTGTCTCTTACTCTCGCTCCTCCCCCTGGTTCACCACCCACCTCCACTCACTGAAGAGCCAGGTGTGGGCCGCTGAACGCACCTGCCTCAAATCTGGCCTAATGGTCCAACGACAAATCTGGCTGGACCTCCTCAAAATCTACCGCTCAACTTCCACCCACCCCCCAACCCTTCCCTCCCACACTCCGACTCCTACGCATCCTCCCCTACACACTTTCGTACCCGTTTCCCCACCCTCTGTCACCAAACTCATCCTGTCCCTGAAACCCACCACCTGCTCCCTTGACCCCATCCCCACTCCACTCCTTATCTCTCAGCTCCACCTCCTTGACCCACGTATCACAGACATCATTAACCTGTCCCTCTCCTCTGGCTCTGTTCCCATTCCCCTAAAAACTGCCATCATCACTCCCACTTTGAAAAAACCCTACCTTGATGCGTCGCAGCTATCAAGCTACCGGCCCATCTCCAACCTCCCCTTCCTGTCCAAGGTCCTTGAAAGAGTTGCCACCTCCCAGCTGCGCTCTTTCCGCTCCACCCATTCATTATTCGAACCCCTTCAGTCGGGTTTCCATGCTGCCCATAGCACAGAAACTGCCCTGGTCAAGGTCACCAATGACATCTTGACCATCTGCGACCAGGGCTCCCTCTGCCTCCTCGACCTATCGGCATTCGATACGGTCGACCACGCTATCCTCCTCCACCGCTTGTCCTCCCACCTCAACCTTCAAAGCCCTGTCCTTGAGAGGTTTAGGTCGTACCACTCCCACCGTCTTCATTTTGTTTCCACAAACGGCTTTTCCTCCACCCCCCGCACTGTCTTGTGCGGTGTCCCTCAAGGCTCTGTCCTTGGTCCCCTCCTCTTCTCCCTCTATATGCTCCCCCTTGGTGACATCATCCACAGACATGGGGTTAACTTCCACATGTATGCGGATGACACCCAACTCTACCTTTCCTCCTCTACTCTCAACTCCACGACCACCGATGTCCTGACAGCTGCCTGTCCGACATCGAGTCCTGGACGAGAGACAACTTTCTTCAGCTTAACGTGTGCAAAACTGAGGCCCTCCTGATTGGCTCACGTCAGCGCCTCCGCACCTCAGGCGCTGACAGCATCAGCATCCAAGGCTGCACTCTCCACCTCTCAAAGCCGTCAGGAACCTCTGTGTTCTGTTCGACCCTGAGCTGTCCTTTCTCCCTCATATCCGCACCACAACTGGCACCGCCTTCCATCACATCCGGAATATCGCCAGACTACGGCACTACCTCACCCCTCACGCTGCTGAAATTCTGGTCCACGCCTTTATCACCTCAAGGCTGGACTATGGGAACTCTCTCGCCGGCCTTCCCGGCACCTCCCTCCACAAGCTGCAGGTCATTCAGAACTCTGCAGCTTGTGTACTGTCCCGCACCAGGCTTCGCGACCACATCACACCCACCCTCGCTCGCCTCCACTGGCTCCCCATCCCCCAGAGGATCGAATTCAAGATCCTCATCCTCACCTACAAGGCCATTCACGGCCTTGCTCCCTCCTACCTCTCCAACCTACTATCCCCCTACCTACCTGCCCGTACCCTCCGTTCCTCTGGCTCCGGTCTGCTCCACATCCCCCGCCCCAACCGCCCTACCATCGGTGGCCGGGCCTTCAGCCTCTCAGCCCCTAGGCTCTGGAACTCTATCCCCCAGTGCCTTCGCCGCCTCCTCCCTTTCCTCCTTCAAGGCCGGTCTCAAGACCTTTCTCTTTGACCGTGCCTTCAGCTCCCCTCTCGACTCTCTACCCCCTCCTCGCTCCCTCCCTTCCCTCCCCTCACCCTGACCATTTCCCCCCAATGCTCGGCTCCTGGCCCAACTGTCCAGCGCCTTGGGACGTCCTCCCGACGTGAAAGGCGCTCTATAAATGGAATCTTGTTGTTGTTTAATGATAACACAGAGATGGGTTATGAAAATATCATCAATTGTGGTTATGAACGAAGAAGGCTCCCATCAAATAGCAGTGTCTAAGCAACCAATGGAAATGCTTACAAGAGAGGTTGTTGGCTTCCTGCATTGACCTAAATTTAGAGCACGTTCCACTATCATAAAATTGTGTGAGCTTATGGACTTAAACCACCCCATTATAATGGCGAGGGGGGAGGGACAATGAGTAGATGGTATGACATTCTTCTTTTATATGCAATCAATTTCCTTAAAATTCTGCCAATAGAATGGCTAGTGGGTATGCATAACTGTATCTCAGTTTGACTCCCTGTACCTTCCCTTCCTCTTTTGATGAAAATATCAGGATCTCCCCCAGGGGTACAGATGGCTTGGTTGCTTTCCAGGACAATCCCTGCCATGATCTTTCTAAGGGCATTAGCTACCAACCTGTCACTCGCACATAATCAAAATTGTTATAGTTTGTATAAGAGTCGCGGAACAGACTGGATTTCAAATCTCAAGTGCAACTTTATTGTTCATGAAAAGTTGGAACAGGAAGGATAAACGTAAGTAATACCTTACCTGTAACAATAGCCTTTCAAAAGCAAGGAAATCATCCCACTTGGAGTACTTTGCATCTTGTAAAGTCTGTACTGTGGCCATTGTAAGCTGCAAGAGCCCACAGTGGTTCTCTAAGGCTTTCATGTTGCTCTTAAATAATTGGGCGTATGAGCTAAGCTGTTCAGGTGTGACTCTACCTGCAGAAAGAAATGGACACATTAAAAAAGTCACAGCATTCAGCACTGCATTATTCTACACTGAGTAAGCCTCCTTCAATTTGTTAACTGAAAAATCTATACGATAAAAGTCAGCTAGATTAAATGAAAGGGAGATGTGATCACCCTTTTTGCAAGGAGATGGGGTCAGAGCGGGAGAGTAGGACTGATTAGCTAGCTCTTCCAAAAAGTCAGCACAGGCACAATAGGCCGAATGACCTCCTTCTGTGCTATAATGTTCTGTGATTCTATGATGTGATTTGCAACTATTCTCCTGCAAACTGTGTACCTACCAACCATTTATAAAACTCTTCTATAATGTTTAAAAACTAAATAAGCATTTAATAAATTGTACAAAGCTAAGTACTAAAATATTGTGATGAAAGTCTCTACAAAGAAGTCTGGAGAAGGGATGGTTCCATATATTGGGTTCCCAAAATTAACATACAAATCATTCCATATTCATTCCGGAAAAACGGTTTCCCCCAAATGCGCAAGATCATATTTCAGCATACGCCCATAATAGTCAAGCTAGCCAAGATTCAATTACTCCTCATATAATATCAACCATTAACCAAATGCATCAAATAATATCATGCAATAAATCAATTAAGCAGCAGAATGTCAACGATGTTGAAAAGCAAAAGGGAACACACCCAGTTTGTATTGAATTTGGCATGCAAGCATGTCTTGTGTGATCCTGAATGTTACATCATTTGTTAAGAAGCAGTAGGTTTCAATCGGAAACAGAGACCTATTGAAGCTTACCAGGAGCAAAAGTACCATCTTACCTAGATATAAATTGAAATCTATGGACAAGGTTCTGTGGTTATTCAGAGACTCCCATGCTATCAACGTCAAGAGTAAAACAATCTTTTTAGCAGGTGTTAAGTGGTGATCTAAGCCAGCTTTTTGCAGTTTTTAATTTTTTAAAATTTTAAAATGACTCCTTTGTTTTCAAAACACAGATATAATGAAGTCACCATGGGATCTAGACATCATGGCTCCTTGTTGTGGCAATCCCCTGGGTCTGCTCGAAAAGAGCTCAACACTCTGGAAAAGTTTTGTGTTTGTACTTCTTTCATATTTATCAGCTGTGACCCATTGTGAAAGGATAATGGGACCAAAAGTAAGAGAATGCCTGCAGAGACCGTAAACTGTGCAGTGTCTCAAACAACAAACATTCACAGGCATCTCACATACGCTTTTAATTACCATCTTGCCACATATGCAAACAACTCTTCTTACTTTTTTCCCCCGTGAGTATTTTTGCTCAAGATACCTCTAGAGGGCAGTATGCAACCACCAAGCCAACAAATACTTGCATGCAACTCGATGAAACTACTGTAGCAACTTCAGTGTCCTTTTTTAATTATAAAGATACTTAAAGGACCAAACTGGAACACTAACACTAACTAGCATTATCAATTAAACAAGTAAAAAATGATTCTTAGAGTGTAGAGTGGAAGTTAAAACAAATATCTATTGATAGGATGTAATAACTAGTTTAAGCTTTCTTTATTCGTTTATGTTTATGAGGAAGCTGTTATGTGATAAAAGTGCAGGTTCCCAATAAGCCAACCTACAGTGAGGCTTTATTATAAGCCGGTTGTAGGGTTCCATAAAATCCCAACCAGCTTTATACCATGATCACTATAGCCAGTTTCAGGGCTTGTGCCTGCAACTAATCTGCTTATATTCTGCACACCAGCCAACTCCCATGCTAAGAAAATTGCAGACTTCAGAGTCATATCATTGACATTACTTCTTGTGTGCTGTGCATGCAACGAAGGAAATGAAGCCGGTGGGGACATGATGACTAAAAGTCGGACATATTTAGCGGGCAGAAAGCCAAAATGAGTAACTTCTTAGTCATCATCTCTGCACTGATGTCACTTGCTACAGCATTCAAGTGACATAGACAACAGCAACCTGATGTCCGGGAAGCCAGCTATTTTTAGTGCAGGAAACACACACACTCATTCACATGATAAATGATCCAGCACTATAATGAAGCTGCACTGTAGCTACTGCTAAAATGTTGTGTTCAAAGTGTGGGGAAAAATTCAGATAGATGGAGTATTTACTTTGAAAAACGTAAGGGAAACTAATTATTTACAAAATGACGGTAAATTACAATTGTGCACATTACCCAAGCTCAATTTAATAGGGAGGTTCTCCTTGCTCGCTGCCTCCACGAGGTGCCTCCGCACTTCCATCACAGCCTCCTTTTGCTTCATGTTCAGCATGGACTCCCACATGGCTTTGGCTGAAGGGTCACTGCAGTGAAATAACAAGGTTAAAGTCAAACATCTGTACTTCTTCAAGAATGTTGGTCTTTTCCAATTTCCACTCATTCTGTAAATACCGAGTCACAGTTTGTATCCAAAACACTTTTTTGGCCCACTTTGTGAAGTTACTTTCCTCTCCTCAAAGACAAATGGAAGGTAAAGTGCTCCCAGGGCTCTGCCAATATTGTTCACGCTTTCCACTAAGAGGTATATGATGGAAGCCTGTGATTGTGCCTTGGGACATCCTCCCGACATGAAAGGTACTTTACACATGTAATTTTGTATTGTATAACTTCTTCCTGGTAAAATAGCCTCTGTTCAGTGCCTCTTCATCCCCTTTTTTGTAAGAGCACAGCAGAGGTCAGGAAATCACTGGTGTGAACTTGTCTCCTATCATTCAGTGCAGTCGTAAAACATAAACAAATTGTGTCACCTCTCAAAGCACTTGACAGGATTTACCATATGTAGTGACTGTGTATTTTGTAGGCAAATTTGGCAGTGAGGGGTTGCAATCCCGGAGCTCTTTCTGAATCCCAGATTTCTGGATTTTAGTGCCGCAAATCCATAGATCCCATAAACCCACAACTTTCCAAAGGTTCTGCCAACTGAACCATTCTGAGTTACTTACCTAGAGAGAATGCAGGGGTGAGCAACCAAGATGGCCATATGAATCAAAGTGATGATGAGGAGTTAAAAAGTTGAGGTTAGACTAATACAATACAAAATTACATTTGGATAGCGTCTTTCACGTCGGGAGAATGTCCAAAGGCAAGGGACGATCAGGGATTTGGACCTGAGAAGGGGAGTTGAGATCAGGGAGGGTGGAGGGCAGGGAAGGTAGCTGAAGGCACGTTCAAAGGGACTAGAAAGAGAAGTGATGCAGAACTTTGTCACTCAAAAAGTAATACATTTGTTGGCTGTATTGCCACAGAAAGCCTTTGAAGCTGTATAAATATGTTCAAGAATTGACTAGATTATTTCTGGAAAAAAGCAGGGGATTGAGAAACGTGTGGAAAGTGTATAGATATGTATGTAGTTTCTGAAAACACTGCACATCTTGCTTGTAAGTTTAGGAGCATTGCTTTTGAGCTGATTGAACATTAAGTTGAATCAGACTAGTAAATAGTTTTACTGCAATGTGAAGATAGATTGAAATTGAGTAAAGTTGACTTGTCCCAATACATGGAGTGTAAACTGAGAGACACTGATTTGTCATGACAGCTTAAGAGATGCTGCTTAATTGTTGACAGGCTGCTCACTCACATCTACAGATTGTTTTCCTAGTTCAAATGATGTATGTTCGAATGATTGTTTCTAAATGCACATGCTGAGTAGACAGTAACTTGTCTTTAGTTTATTTTTACAGTTTTAATGAGTCAATTATTTTGAATACAAGTAGCTTTTTGCTTACTTAATTACTAAGGAGAGTAGAAACTGGTTATGTGTAAAAATATTTATTGGGAAAAATTTCATATCCCATTTCACTCATGTAACTTATACTTTTATTATTGTGAAATTCTGAATCCTCACTTTCCACTGTTTAGTTGATAAGGAAGATCTACAATACATTTTACATTTATATTGTGCCTTATACATGAGGAGGATATTTCAAAGTGCTCCACACTGCTAGCTTTGAGGGGGGGGGGGGGGGGGGGGGGTGGAGGGGGGACTGGAAGCTGAAGAGATGTTGTATTTAATAAGAATAATCCTTGCATAGTTTGTTGTCCTGTTGATTTACACATATGCAGAGTAACCATTCATAAAAGTATATGCAAGTCATTAATTTTACATATGCATATAAAGAGTTCGGCATTCAAATGGTTAAACAAGAGTTAACATTCTCAGACAGTCACCACGCTTATTGTGGCTATTTTGCTTGTAGAGATGCTCTCCCCTCCCCCCCACCTTTGCCCACCAATGAAAAGTGAAATCCATGAGAGGGCACTGCTGGACTACAGGGGAATTTTAACTACTTTTACTGAACATAGAGGTTAAAGCGGTTGTGGGATGAAAGATTGCCCAACTTTTAAATACTCTATCTGTATAATTAATTCTAATGAGATCCCAGAAGTGGAACAAGCATGTAGGCTTATGCACGGGTATGTGGACTGCTGCCGAATCTATTGTTGTGGTTTGTATGCTTTCGGTTATAAATCTCTTCCTCAACAAGTATAGAAAGAACTTGCATTTTGATAGTGTCTTATCAAGTCAATACATCTCAAAGCACTTTACGGTAATTAGGGACAAGTGCAGTGATTATTTTTAGGAAACTCAACTGTCATTTTGCACAGTCCTCAAAAGAACCACAAGGTGAATGGCCAACTTTACACAGAGGATTGTTGATAAGGACACCTTGAGAAACTCTTTTCGCCTTTTGAATGGTATCATGGGATCACCTGAAGAACAATGTAATCATCCCCAACTACTGGAGTATCAGCCTAAACTGTGAGCTGAAAAGCCAACATAGGATTTGAACTTTCTGTCCCAAAGCGATAGTCTTATCAATTGACAATCTGGAAGGACACGGGGATTTAGAAAAAACTTAGAACAGAAAGTATGGACATGCATAAAAAAGCAGCTCGAAAAAAACTCACTACCAGAGTTCTTCTATTGGCCATATTCAAGGCAGCTTTTTTATAGACGAATGCTAGGTTATGGCAGCAATTCAAGATAATATACTCTAAGACAAGGTTCCTGAAATGACTAAGATCATATCTAATCAAAATCTACAGGAAACCAGCTGTGAAAATAACCCTTGGCTTACTCATTGGATGAGACACAAACATCAAAGAATCACATTTGTCATTTACTACATCTAGGATAATTTGTTTTAAAAAGTATAATATTCACCATTAAAGTCTTTTTCTCATGCCATTGCATTCTAAAATTGCTCATAAGGAATAGAGTCATAAGATCTGAATTGTAAGTTATATGGAATGTCACATAGTTAAAATGCAACTGACTTAAAATCAATTTGACTAATAAAAATAAAATTCCTGCTATGATGCTCCATCTGTTACCTCTAATACACTTTCATCTCCAATATCATCAAATACCTATTATGACCATTTTCCTTGGCAAAACAGAATTGAGTACTCCACTGTGCAGTACAGAAAATGTGCATTTGTTTATTCAGGTGCTAGGACATCTAGGAATACAACAAAAAGAGAACCAAATATTTGTTTTCTTTTTGAAGGTTTATCTTTCTTTGCCAACTGTACTGCCTCATAGTGTAGCATAAGTCCTCTGGTGTTAGCCTCCCTCCATTACTTTGTCCGAGTGTCCATGTATGAGCTGAAACCTTGGATGCTGGTAGTGTATGCAACCCAGGAGGCCAAGGTTATGTGCCATCCACCTCCACCCCACCCGAACCAAACCCCCAGAAGGGATGCAAATCCATGAAAGGCGCTATACAAATGTAATTCTCCTTCAGCGTGGATTCTTACCAATCATCATATCAGCTAACTCAGCAAAGTTAGAGGAGTTTGTGGAGTCCTGTAGCTCAGTGGTTAGAGCACTCGCCTTGCAAGCGAGACACCTGGGTTCAATTCCAGGCAGGGCGAACCTTGGGCAAGTTTTCTTACTCCACACGCCTAATAATAATCCCTCCAAAATAAAAAAAACAATAATAAATTGGTCATTTTCAATCCATGACTGTTTGTGGGACACTGCTGTGCGTAATTGGCTGCCGCGTTTCGCCTACAAATATACAGTCAATTCACTTTACAGTCTATTCTGTGAAGCGCTTTGAGATGTCGAGAAGATGTGAAAAGCGCTATATCAAATGCAAGGATTATTATTATTATAAACACTGGAAATAAAACTTTGGATCTGTATGGATCATTTTCACACAAGTGATTGGCTTTACCAATTAAGTCATCAGAGAAGGATGTGTGTGTGGAGATAAAAAATCTATCCTACAATTTGAACAGAAACAAGAAACAGTTGGAAATGTTCAGAATTTAACAACCAAAGAAGAATTTTCTCCACTACAACATAGAATGTATAGTTGGCATTTCAGTTCCAATCAGTCATTTGTGACGCCTTTACCACACATTTCATCAATGCTGATCTAAGACCATTTTTCAATATGTAACATGTAACAGAAAAATGATGATGTTTGCCCCGTCAAGTGAACATCCTGCCAAATTAATTTACTGGTTTTCTTTGACGAGGTAACAAAGGAACTTGATAAGGGTAAGGCAGTGGATGTTGTATATCTGGATTTCAGTAAGGCCTTTGATACAGTTTCTCACGAAAGGCTGGTACTGAAAATAAAGAAACAACAAGATTACATTTGTATAGCGCCTTTCAGGTCGGGAGGACGTCCCAAGGCGCTGAACAGTGTACATCATTTCAGAAAGCGGGAATCAGAGGAAGTATCTTGCGATGGATATGTAATTGGCTGACCGATAGAATCCAGAAGGTGGTGGTACAGGGAATGTCATCAGGCTGGGAGAACGGTACCAGTGGAGTTCCACAGGGATCTGTTTTGGGACCTCTTTTATTTAACATCTTCATAAACGATCTGGAGGTGGGAGTCACAAGCATAGTTACTAAATTTGCAGATGACACAAAGCTAATGAAGGTGGTAGACTGCAAATATGAACAGGATAGGTTATAGGAGGACCTGAACATTCTTGGAAATTGGGCAGATCGAAGGCAGGTGAAATTTAATCTAGCGAAATGCAAAGTGCTTCACACGGGGACAAAAAAATCTAGGAAGGGACTATTATTTAAATGGTAAGAAAATAATCTGTACGGAAAATGAAAAGGACCTGGGGATCCTGATTGATAATAAATTAAAGCTATCAGAAAAGTGCTTTCATTTAGTGCTTTAATTCAGTGAGTAAGGCAAACCAGATGCTGGGTTGTACTGAAGGGGCAATATTGAGCCGAAATAGAGGGTAATCCTGCCACTTTCTAAATCACTGGTGTGACCGCACTTGGAATATTGCGTGCAATTTTGGCCACCACAATGTAAAAAGG